CGGACTGCATCTTACTAACACCATGGTGGCCGCGACAACCTTGGTTTTCAACAGTCCTCGAGCTATCACAAGGAATATACCATCAATTCCCTCCGGCTCAGGATCTTCTCCTCCTCCCCAACTCCCCTCTTCTCCATCACAACATACTACAGTTGAAACTGATGGCATGGAGAATAACATCACCGGCTTCTCCGCCCGCGTAGCAAACGTCCTGTGGAATTCAAGGAAGGCTACTACGTGGAGGTCCTACGATTATAAATGGCAAAGGTTCTGTTGTTCCCTAGGTGATGACGCCCCTTGAGCCACCTCAGTGGGTCTCGAAAGAGTTTTTCGATTCCTCCTCTCCTTAGCTGACTCGGGACTTTCCCATTCATTATTTGGCCGCTGTTTCGGCCTACCATGTTCCAGTTGATGGATGTACTTTGTTTTCACATCCAATTTCAAAATGTTTTTTAAAAGGTTTATTGCATCTCTATCCTCCTGTCAAAACTCCAGTCGCTCCCTGGGACCTTCCTCTAGTTCTCCGCCAGCTCACGAGGAAGCCCTTTGAGCCACTTGCAACATGCGACCTCAAACTTCTAGCATGGAAAACGGCCTTTTTAATTGCCATTACCTCGGCTAGGCGAGTGGGAGAAATATTAGCTTTCCGGCATGATACCCCTTATCTGTCCTTTCTGCAGGCGGAGGTCTTCCTCCCTGACTTCTTCCCAAATCCAACATCAGCGGAGGACAAATTATTACACACTTTAGATGTGAAGCGGGCTCTCCTGTTCTATCTCAATAGAACGCACCCAACTAGACGAGACTGACAACTATTTGTCTTGTACGCTTCACCAAGGCTGGGTACTCGCATCACGGCTCAGCGCCTGTCAAAGTGGATTGTAGGTCTGATCCATCTATGTTACCTACTCGCTAAACAGCTATTACCTGGCCCTAACAGGGCTCATTCTACCAGGGCTGTCGCGATTTCCACTGCCTTCCTCCAGGGAGTGCCCTTGCCGGACATTTGTAAAGCTGCTACGTGGGCCACGCCTAACACCTTCATCAGGCACTATGCCCTCGACGTCCGTACAAACACCAGTACCAGCATGGGACGTCACATTCTATCTTCGGCTATGCAGTAAAGAACCTGCCAGCACCCTCCTCCAGGTAGGCTACTGCTTGCTAATCTCCCATGGGTGTGAAGCACAGAGACCACGTCGAAGATAAGCAGGTTGCTTACCAGTAACTGGTGATCTTCAAGTGGTCATTTGTGCATTCACACCACCCGCCCTCCTTCCCCGCTGCTGTCAGCTTTTACATTTTTAATGGGGTTTGATTTGCGGCGGTTTGAAGGAACTGGCAGGATGTCCGCGCCCACCCCTCTGGGCATGCGCGGTGGGGTTCCTGCACATGCCCGAGGGACTGGGCGCGAAAATCCGTTAAAAGAGCTTGATACAGCAACGATCGATCCAGTGCATGCACACTGAATCCCATGGGTGTGAATGCACAGATGACCACTCGAAGATCACCAGTTACTGGTAAGCAACCTGCTTTTCTCATTGTCTAGGGGCTCTTAAGGGTCAATTTTGAGGGAGCACAGCTGGCTACACTGGAAACAAGGAGGCAGGAAATACCTTTTTCTGTGTGCATAATTTTGAGGATAAGCTCCAGCTTAGGGTTACCCACCTGAGGCTGATAACTGGTAGGAGAATTTGGGAGGTTGGGACCTAGCTGTCTCATGTCCCCTGGCACTGCATTGTCGCTTCTAGTTCATGCTGGAAGAGACATCAGCACATGGGGAGTGATGCTGTACATGGGCCTGAAACTTTTCCCGACGCATTGACAACACTTTCAATTTCTGCCAGTTAATCTTCTGTCTTCCGTGTATTGGAGACTGTGCATGCACAGGCGTGTTGCAGGAGGGAAAAATAGCTCAAAAGCCTGGAAGAGTGCTCCTCCCCCACAGTGCACAAAGTGGCATTTTCCCATCAAAATCATTTCACACACCATTGCTGTGAGAGGATCAACTTCTAGCATTCTGATATCTGGTCATAATTTAGAAGAGTCTTGTTTGTCAATTGCTTATGGCCTCAAAATTTAAAAACTTGAATAGATAGAGGGAAAAACATTCACAGAAACTGTTTGTGAAATCTACTCAGTGTGGTACAGAAATGACTCAGATGAGCATTCTCTGTGCTGCCTTTACCTCAATGAGTCCCACAACATTTCTTCTGGCTATTAGTTCAGGTCTCAGATCTGCCCTGGCATTGATGCTACTTGTCTCTTACAGGAGTTCATCAAAACCTCTCCCAAAAAAGGCAAAGGGTATTTATTTACTTCATTTAAATCCCACCTTTCTTTCCAATGGGGACTCAAGAGGCTTTCCTCCATTTGGTCCTCACAGTAACTGTGGGAGGTAGGCTAGGTTAGGCATGTGACAATGCTATAAGAGGCATTATCCACTTCAGTATCCTTCTCAGATGCTTTTTGTTCAACCTAACTTGCAAGGTAGGAGAAGGGGACCTTAATTTAGGTCTAAACAACAAATGGTCTCTGAAAGGCCCCCAAACAGGGCCAGAAATCATTATTCAATGAAATCCCAGCCTCCACTTTCTTCCTAAAATCATCTTTGGTTTCATCTGTCACTGTGAACAGTATTGTTTTACTTACAGAGAACACAGAGAGAAAAGTCTACATCTTTCTGTATGTCATTTGGATCCTCATAAAAGCAAAGTTGCCTCTTCTCAGACTTTGTACAGATTGATTGCTACCACTGTTAAACTATGTTACCAACAAACTGGAGTGCCTTGTCCCTTTCAGGTACAAGCCCATTTCACTGTAGCTCAAGCTAGCAGGTTTTCTTCATGGTGTACCTTTGGTGGACATCTGCAGTGTTTCTATGTGATCCTCTGTGATAAGTGAAGTCAAGGAAGGAATCATAAGTGGGGAAGGATGTGTTGCATTATTTGTTTGACTGAGAACCTCAAACCTACTTCCTTGGTGAGTAGCTTGTCACGCTCCCAGTGTGGGACTGCACAGAAGACCGAAGATGAGAACTAGGTTGCATGTAGCTGTAACTGCTGTTCATTGAGTGTCTTCTGTGTGGGCACACATTCCCTCCTTCCTGACCTTCTATGAGCTCTCTTTCGTGCTATTCTTTTTTGGAACTTTGGCATCTCAGAACTGAGGGAAAGGGGTGCTCCTCCCTCACAGTGCTCAATGGTTTTGGCAAGAAAATGCCACCTTGCATGCTGTGGGGGAGGAGCAGGCCCATAGCCATGGGGTGGCATTTGAAGCAACCCTCCCCCACCCGAAATCTTCCCTGTAATTTTTTTTTACTAAATTTAAGTTGCGTGCCGGTTTCACTTAATCCCCTCTTTACTCTGTTGCCTCTGCAGAGGCCTCCCTCCCTCCCTCCCTCCCTCCCTCCCTCCGTCCCTCCCTTCCTTCCTTCCTTCCTTCCTTCCTTCCTTCCTTCCTTCCTTATTCCCATGGCCTCTGGCTCCTCCTTCCAGATTCCCATGGCTTTGTCCTTCCTGTTTACTTTCTGATTCCCAAAGTCATCTGCTCGGCTCAGCTTCTCAGCATGCTGCTGCGTGTTGCTGCTCCTGGATTGCTCCTTGTTCTCCCTGGCGTCTGGTGGGCACCTCTGTGTGGGTGGGGGGTGTTGGTTGGTGTTTTTTAAAGGAATTTGGCACCTTTAGAAGGGTGCTTTGGTTGGTGCCTTTAAGAAGAAGCAGAAGAAGAAGAAGAGATTGGATTTATACCCCGCCCTTCACTTGGAGTCTCAGAGCAGCTTACAAACTCCTTTCCCTTCCCCTCCCCACAACAGACACCCTGTGAGGTGGGTGGGGCTGAGAGAACTCCGACACAAACTGCTCTTTTTCAGGAACAGCTGTGCCAGAGCTTGTGACTGACCCAAGGTCACATCAGCAGCTGTGAGTGGAGGAGTGGGGAATCAAACCCGGTTCTCCCAGATTAGAGTCCGCACACTTAACCACTACACCAAACTGCACACTTAACCACTACCCCAAAAAGAGTTAATGGGAGGGTAATCCCCTCCCCCTTGGCTCTAAACAGACCACAGAAGCTGCTTCCTGTCCTTTTTTCCTACTTTATACCTGGTAGGAAATTGGCAGTTGAATTATTTTCCTTGGTGTGGAGGGAGAGAAAGCCAGAACTGCATTGCTACAATTTACAATGCCTACTCTGCAGGGAGAGCTGTGTAAGGGTGGCAGATCCTCAAGAGGGGAAGAAACCATTGCAGGGAGAAATGTATAAAAATTGCCAGAGAGGTAGAGAAGAGCTGGACTGTGAAATCAAGGCTTGATTTGTTTACCATTAATCTAATTAGTGGTATTTTGTTTAAGCTTACCGCTCCCCAACCAAATGATTTGGCACCCCACCAAAAATTTCCTGGCTATGGACCTGGGGAAGAGAGACCTTTCCAGGTTTTTTTGAGCTTGAAAATTCTCTGTGGCTAGCCTGAGAGTGTACAGTACCTGCACAGAAGATACTCGATGAACAGCAGTTACAAGTAAATGCAACTCTGTTAAATGATGCCATAATTTCCCCAAATAACACCAGTTTCCCTCCATTTCCTCCCCACGTTTCTAGCAATCAGCAGTAGAGGCATCAGGATTTCGGGTTGGAGGTCGCCAGGAGATAGGTCATTCAGCTTCTGCCAAGGTGGGAATGCTGAGTGGCCTAACTCCAACTCACATGAATAGATCTGAGATTCATCCTGATGGGATGTCAGTTATTTTAGATTTTGTGCAATTATTTCAGTGATATCTTTTGGGAATATTTATAAGATCTCTTGATTGTATCTCAGTTTTTGATCAGCTGCTATGGAATAATTATAAGCTTAGGGGGAAAAGAAGAAAAATTAAAACCACCTAAAATTGTTTTCTTGAAATGAAATATAAGCACATACTTTCTCCTCTACTGTTAGGTCATCTGTGTACTTTAATAGAAATCTTTTCCATTTTGGGAAATGTTTGTTATTTTTTAAACAGGGATTTGTTTTGGCTGTCACAGTGGTACGGGAGGCAGTTGATGAATTTCGTCGTTACCAGCGAGACAAGGAAATGAACTCGCAGTTCTATAGCAAGCTCACAATACGAGGTTAGCAATCTTTTTTCCCCTATGAATCATGTATAAGCATTCGTGTCCCCTTGTCTGTGCTAATTGCAAACTGTCTAAACCAGGCCTGCGATCCACCATGCTGAATGCAGCCCAGCAGCCAAGTGTTGTGGTTTGCCAGATGTTTGACAACCTCACTGTTTTTGCAGTCCCAGGCAAGCAGCAAAATGAAATGGTTTAGCAAGCCCCTGGTGGGTCCACATAAGACATAGTTGGTATACTGCATTCATCTTGGTGAGACACATATTGTGCAGTCCAGGAAGATGTTACAGGTAGATATTTCTTAGGAAAAGGAAGTTCAGTAAGGTGTAAAAAATTCAGTTCACCACAAATAATTTCTGAAGCATTACTTAGAGAACTTTGGCAAGTGCATTTAACATTATACATTGTTGTACAAATACCTTTAAAAATGTTACTGCCTGAAAGACCATTTCTTTGAGACTGAAGCTGGAAAAGAAACCATATAAAAATTAACAGTGAAGCTGTGAACAGAGGCATTGCTTCTTCAGAGAAGAAATGCAGGATCTTGACTTAGGAACTGTGATTTCACATTACTTTCTGATCCAGTGTCTTTATTGAAATTTTTGGAAAGCTGGAGAAAACTGCTGTTTCTGTAAACAAAAATTAATATATTTAAAATGTGGTAGGATTGATTTAAAAGGTTAATCGAATAGCATTTTTAAGTTATTTGGAAATTATTTTATTTATATTCCTGTCTTGAGCATTGTAACTCAGACAAAAGTTCTACGAAGTTCAGTGGTGTTTACTGCCAAAATAAACATGCATATATAGGATGTCTGCCTGAATGTAGTAAAGAGGTCTCTAACAATAATGGAAGAAATTGCTGTTAGGTTCACACAATAGCACTGTAGAGACAAAAATGAATAAATAAACTTGTTGAGATGACGTTCAATGATGTTTGTAATTTCTATATTTTCAGGACAAAGGACGTCTGACACTGAAGATAGGTGATACGAACATCTCGAGTGGTAGTTCGTTTCGAGACACAACTCTTTTTCAACCACAATTCCTATCAAAAGCAGATGGAATACAATGAGCTCCTGAACAATATACATAGGCTATGATTGAATTAATAAAGAATAAAGTTACATACAGATTCTCTGGTTGTCTTTTTGTATACAGAGGTAGTATCAATCTTTTCCTGTAATATACAAAACATGATATGAGAACAAAAGCAAGTTGCATAACTCAATCCCTATTAATGGTACATTCATGTTAAAAAACTTACCAACAACAGTTCCAACAGCACATAGGCTAACAAGTTTATAATACAGCACGCAGGCTTACTAGTTTTCAGTCCGGACAACAAGTCTTACTGAGTACAAGCATCCATTTCCTTAAATAGGTGCAAAATACAAACAAGGTAAATTGCTTGTGCATGCAAGGATGGCCAACTTACCAGTACATATAACTTTAGCACAAATTGATAGATGCATCAGGCTAAGGACAAAACTACAAAACATATACAAGTAAGACTTGTTGTCCGGATTGTTATTAAGCCTGTGTGCTGAATCATAAATTTGTTAGCCTATGGCTGCTGGAACTGTTGTTGATAAGCTTTTTATTATGTATGTACACTTAATAGGGATTGACTATAGAAGGCTACTGACTATAATATAATGCTATGTAATACTAGAGAATTCACTGTATATATGTTTTGTGGTTTTGTCCTTAGCCTGATGCATCTATTAATTTGTGCTAAAGTTATATGTACTGGTAAGTTGGCCATCCTTGCATGCACAAACAATTTACCTTGTTTGCATTTTGCACCTATTTAAGGAAATGGATGCTTGTACTCAGTAAGACTTGTTGTCCGGACTGAAAACTAGTAAGCCTGCGTGCTGTATTATAAACTTGTTAGCCTATGTGCTGTTGGAACTGTTGTTGGTAAGTTTTTTAACATGAATGTACCATTAATAGGGATTGAGTTATGCAACTTGCTTTTGTTCTCATATCATGTTTTGTATATTACAGGAAAAGATTGATACTACCTCTGTATACAAAAAGACAACCAGAGAATCTGTATGTAACTTTATTCTTTATTAATTCAATCATAGCCTATGTATATTGTTCAGGAGCTCATTGTATTCCATCTGCTTTTGATAGGAATTGTGGTTGAAAAAGAGTTGTGTCTCGAAACGAACTACCACTCGAGATGTTCGTATCACCTATCTTCAGTGTCAGACGTCCTTTGTCCTGAAAATATAGAAATTACAAACATCATTGAACGTCATCTCAACAAGTTTATTTATTCATTTTTGTCTCTACAGTGCTATTGTGTGAACCTAACAGCAATTTCTTCCATTATTGTTGTATCTTTAAATTGCTGGTCCCCTTTGTAGATGTAAAGAGGTCTCTGACAAGAAAAAATAGTTTAGGTGTCAGTATAAAATATTGGGGCTAAATGGTTAGTTTTCAGCAAAAACATGCATCATTAAAAATGCCAGAGTTAAAATAAATACAGAACATTAAAAACAGTTAAAACATTGAGTTGGAAGGAGGGGTCACTGAGGGAACACTAAAAGAAACAAAAAAAAAAGTCTTCACCTGCTGGTGGAAGGTGGCAACAGAAGGTGACAGACAAGTCTCCCCAGGAAGAGAGTTACGGAGTTTTCATGCTATGACCAAAAAGGCCCTCTCCCGGTTTGCCATTTTGCCACTTGCGTAATCTCAGAAGGCAGGGGCTACTGAAGCAGGACCTCCAAGGACTACCATAGTAGTCAGGTTTATAAAGGAGTGGGCAGGATTAGATCATTAATGGGAGAAGCATAGAGGTACAAAGGAGAAAAAGGTTAGAGAGCAGATGATGAAGGATGTATCCAAACTCGTCATGGGTTTTTTTAATGCTTGAGACAATGCTGTGTTGTGAACGACAGAAGGATAAACACATCACAGTATTCTACCAAAATCTTGTATAATGATGAATACTTAATCTGTGTTTATACTAAATAGACTTAAGCTATAATCCTAAACACACAGGGTAGGTTTGGTCACTCTAGAAGGGAAATGGTAGAAGGAGTGAGTCCCAGGTGGTGGTCCTCAGTCTTTCAGTAGCTTTTGATACCATCAGCCATGGTATCATTCTGAAGTGCCTTGCAGGGGCATCATTTCATAGAGGGCAGACTGAAAGATAGCTCTGGGAGACTACTGTATCCCATAGCCATTGTCTTTTGGGATGTCATAGTTCCATTTTTTTCTCCCTAAAATTTAAATGAAATTGGCTGAGGAGGTTGTTTGGATGGGGGGCGGGTGAAGTTCAGTCCCAATAAGCAGTACATCTGCTTTGTATAGAACATATAAAATCTTGGGTTCGTGTACACAATATTGGATGAGATTGCATACTTGTAGGTTCACAGTTTGGGAATGGTCTTGGATCCATCTCTGCCTCTGGATGTGCAGGCAGTAACAATGGTCTGGAGTGCTTTTTCCTTGCTTAGGCTAGAGAAGAATGACCTAGCCACAATCATTTATACCTTAATTACATCCAAAGCAGTCTACTTTAACATTTCTTCATAGGGCGGCTTTTGAAGAGTGCCTGGAAACTATACCTGGTCCATAATATGATGATCAAACTGTAAGCATAAGTGGGATCATATCAGGCCAGTCACATGACGCGTGCATTGACTATCAAGCCCAATTTAAAATACTTGGTTTAACCTTTAAAGCTCTGAATGAGTTGGATCTACATTATTTTAAAACTATGCTACTTCCATGTGACTGTATCAGCACACTGAAATCTTCCACTGAGGTCGGTCTTTGTGTCTTCCCACCTTCAGAAGTATCACCATTTTAACTTGGTGCCAAGACTCTTCTCATCCAAGAGAAGTTTGCTCTGCTCCTTCTTCTCTAGCATTCAGGGTCCAGGTGAAGGTGATGACTATTAAGAACTAGATGGTCTCTGTTAGCTACTGCTGCTGCTCTTTTTTATTCTGACTGTTCTAACCTGCTGTGTTGCTTTGTTTCTTTGCTTTATTTTTTAACACTGACTATTTTTCACCACCCGGGGATTTTATAAAACTGTAACATGGAATATAAATATTTTTCAAAATACAAGGCTGGTGTCACACATGGTATACCCATCTCCCCCCCCCCCCGCCATTGGTTGTCTGGATTTCTATGTTGTATCAGCGTCATTTCTACTGTAATAGAAGTTACTTGATACAGGGGGGGAAATCTGCATACATTTATGTGGTGACTGTGCCAATTTTTCAAGACCAAAAGTTTTTAAGCAAAATTGGACTTCCAGGTGATTCAGAATGTTTCTGAAACCCATAATACTTCTCTTTGCCCCTCTTCACAGAGGTTGTTAGTGATTCTCTCTTCCCCTTGCCACCCTGACGTGTTTCTTCCCCAAGATATCTCAGCTAATCAGACATGTAGTAAACGTGGTATGCCATGTATCAAATCAGATTTGGATATGTGATGTCAACGTCACTCTGAATTAGTGTTGGACTGAAGGCAAACACATCACCAGTGGTTCTTTGTCGTAACCAGTGTTCCCTCTAAGGTGAGTTAGTGTGAGCTACCTCACAGTTTTTTAGCCTCCGGCTCACACATTTCTGTCTCAGCTCAGGAAGGATGGCCCCAGAGCAAACTGATTTATGCAGCGGCCAAATCACTCGCTCACAACTTTAATGCCAGTAGCTCACACAGTAGAATTTTTGCTCACAAGACTCCACAGTTTAGAGGGAGCATTGGTCATAACCCCATGAAAATTCATAGCACTACAGAAAATGATCACACTGTAATTCTTAGAAGGTGATATGAAGGTTCAAGTTAAATAGTTCTCTCCTTATATTATTTTAAAAGAGAAAACTTTCTTATCCATTTTCCCCTTGGATATTTGCTGAGTTCTCTTCCACAGCAAATGCTTTGTTATCCCAGTACTTTCCAGTTAACTCTTTGTGGGTGACTTATGTTTCTGAACTGGGCAGGTATTTAAATGCATAGTTTTTTTTCTGACTTCATTTTGTTTAAATTGGTTTTTTTTAATTATTTTAAACTTTTATGTATTAAATATTTTTAATGCTTAAATTCACCTTAAAGCATTAAATGTATGGAAAACAAATACAATACAATAAAATAAAATGAAGTAAGGCAGCAGTGACGAAAATTCTATTTCAGCTATACCCCTCAAAGTGGCTAACATTGTAAAATACAAATTTAACTCCTTTTTACACACACTCACACAAATCATCAAACCTTAGCCTACGTTATGGGGCGTGGTTCTGCTGCAGTCCATCTTTCCCCAACACCCTGTAACCTAGCCTTCCGCCACTTTAATGCTGTTACCCTCTGAATGCTAAAACATTTCCAAACAGAGTTTCTCCCTAAGCAAGGAGGATCTGAGTACCATTCTGTTTCATGTATACTTTTGGGGGGTGAGTTTAGAAGGCAGTTCTTCAGGATGCTGTCCAATCCCTTCAGAAGGAAACCCTGTCAAAATACATACCAAGACTTTGACATTCAATCAAATTCCTGCTGATTTTTTTTTAAAAAACAAAACATTTAAGACCCTTGAAGGGCATAACACAGCAGGCCTTGGAAGATTCATTTGGAGGGTGATTGACAGTACAGGCAATGCTCGTGAGATGCATCTTCCCCTTGCTCCCATCAAGCTGTCCTCAAAGATGGCACCTAGAACATTACCTACACTGTTGTTTGTATATGGATGAGCTCCATAAAATGCTGCTTATTATGAAAAAAATCAAAGCTTTTCTTCATTTTAGAAATAGAATGAGCTTATCTTGATTTGAATGTTTGACATTGGCTTAATTCCTGGTGTTTCTTGGCTGACAGCAGCTTAGAGGTTTATTATTCTTTAATAATTAGTTTACTTCTAACAACAATGAAGCCTCTGCTTTCTCTGTGCTTCTTTCTCAACTCTCTGTTGCCCTAAAGCCTCTCCTTGCTCTATCTTATTGCACTAAACCAAAGCACTGCATTAAAATAATACAGAATTGTCCATACCAAGAATCTCTTTGGTGGAGACAGTGTCTTGAAGGGAGAGGGCAATTTTTATCCTCCTTTTGCAGTTTTTAAAATAATTTTGCATGCTTTTTGTTGAGATCCATAGTAAAATATTGGTGAGTGCATGATTTAAAAAAATCATTACAATCCTCTTGAGCCATTCAAGTGTAATGAATTATGATAGACACTTAATTGTGTTCTAGTTTCACATACGGCTTTAGGCAAAGGCTTTTGCCTTGGTGGACTATAAAGAGTGGATATGCATCCAATTCTGACAGCTTTGGACTTTTTTATTGGCAATTACACAGATGGTGAAGAATGTTTTCTAGTTAGTGAGATGTGTTTAGAAGGAAAAAATAGTTTGCAGAAATAATTTACGCAGTGAATTGCATTTGATGTTTTTCTCATTGTCTTTTCAAAGTTGTAATATTATATAATTTGTGTTTAGTAAACTGATGCCTAATGAATACTGGTTCAGATAGCAAATGGAAGTTATTTATAGCTTTCTTAAGGTTTCAAAGTATATTTTTTATTACTGAGACATGTTCTGTCAACTTTGCTGTTAAAAAAGTGGACATTGGGTTAAAATTACCTGAATTTAGATGTTGCTTGCTTTGGAAACAGCTGTTTCTGTTGCCACATACAAATACTGTGAATTTAAAATTATAAATTTGTATGCCATTCTGCAGAAGAGTAGGTTGCAGTGCTCCTGTGATTCACCTTGGCTTAAAAGAAAAGTCTTGCTGTCTTAGTGACAGCTTCTATGCCATTCCAGAGAAAAAGACTCTTGGGCAGAAATGCATCAGCTGAACAAGTGAGAAACATTAAATTAAGACCTACATCTTGAGCAATGAACTGTTATCCGCCTGGATTGAGGATATAGTTCCTTGTGTGAGGATTATAGGTCTTCCTGGTGAGAGACTTTGGCAGTAGAAACCTTAAATGTTAATTGCATGGTAGCTTGCTGTCTAAATGAAAAAGTTGTGTATGCTCAAGATCTTAAGAGAGTACAAGGAAATGAAGCTGCTTTATACTGAATCAGCAGTGGCTCTCCCCATCACCTACCGCCTGATCCTTTTAACTGGAGATGCCAGGAATTGAACTGGGGACTTTCTGCATGTCAAGCAAATGCTCGACTGCTGAGTCACAACTCCTCCTATAAATAAATAAACAAACAGCGCTTAGAATATATTTGGGAGCCAGTGGGGCTTGGAAAGTAAAATTTAGAGCATTCAGAATAGGGTTTCCTGGGAGCTGGTATATCTTTGACAGTTAAGGTCCTCAGATTCAGCAGATCTTAATAGCTATTGAATTTACCCCCAAAAGACCTGATGTTGCAGAAAAATTATTTTCAAATTTTAGGTCATTCTCATTTCTCTAGTTTAAGATGTATTTACAGTTCCTGAGAAAAGAATTAATTTGCAGCATTGATTTTCCAATTCATCTCATCAGTTTTTCCCAATGTGGCGTCTGGTTAACTCACTCCAAAGTAAAGTTTGAAGTAATCCGTATAAGATCACCGGTCTGACTCTGCATTGTGTTATGTTTTGTATGATCATAGGAAAATTAATATGACAGAAACAGAAGTTTGCTTCTTATCCACAAATTTTGAAAATCCATATAAAATGCTTGAGACATTAATTTTACATATTTATAAACTGGAAAGGATGGACATCTAATTGTAAGATGTGCAGAGAAGAGATGTTATGCCTAGGGATATCCAGTAAAATCAGAAGTATAATTTTGATTGCCGATGGTTTTCTTTGTTTTTTACCATGTCATTTAGCCTCTCAGTTTCTTTCCTCATAAAATTGTGACAATTAAGTGCAGTCTTTTAACACAGCATGATTAGATTGACGAAGATACTGGTTACTTTAAGACCACATGTATTAAAATAGTCTTTTAAAAAACTTTGCTGTAATACAAATTTCCACAAAGCAGCACTGCTGGAGTAAACTAACATAAGAACGTTTGTGATTTACTCATAATTACTTATGTTTATAAATTTCTTTTTTTCTTCAAAGGTAAAGTGCAAGTTAAAAGCTCAGACATTCAAGTTGGAGACCTCATCATAGTGGAAAAGGTGGTTGTTTTTAAAATACATATTTTAGATAATCAAGATTCTGAATGTTGTCTGTGTATCTTTTTTTCTGGACATGTACCCACACTTCCTAGAAATCTGCCCTGTGACAGAAGATAAAGAAAATTGTCAAATATTTAATGATACAGCAAATAAAATTATTTGTATTTTGCACTGGTATTCCATAAATCTGCTGAGGCATTGTATTCCAAGGAGCTTTCTCACCTTCAGGGGTCGTTTCGTTGAAAAAGAGCTAGGGGAACTCATTAGCATAACTCATTAGCATATGCCACACCCCCTGACATCAGGGGGCCAGCGGTGGACCTGCAAGGCTGGCCGGAGTGCGAGGAAGCCCCGCCAAGGCCCTCCCTGGCCCCAGGTAGGCATGGGTGGGGAGAGGCGGGGTGGAAGCAGCTTACCCTCCCTCTTCTCCTGCCTCCTCCTGGCTGAATGAGGGCTGGAAGCGGGGCGACCGGAAGCAGGGAGCGAGGCTTCATCGTGTGCCCCGCACCTCACCCGGGGGAACTGTGTTCCCCCGCGATCCCCCTCGAAATGACCGGCTGTTGAACATCCTGTTTTCTTCCCTTGTACTACAGAATTAAAAGATCGAATATGCTGGCCTGTACTGTATTTTCAGTGTGGCATTTACCTGGCTGCTTGATTCTGTACAGTGCTCCACTGAATGTGGCTCAGCTCAATCCATTACTTTTGCTTCTTTGTGAGGGGAAATGAGAGGGATGGGTGAACCCCAAGAAAAATAATGACTGTATGGTTCTCACCTGAATGAAACATCTGCATAGATCTGTTTTTAGTCATTCCTTTTTAATTTGCCTCTGGGAAAAAGGCATTTTGGAAATATATCAGATATGCAGTACAAATTAAATCAGTTAAATCACTGTAGTCAACCATTTTGAAGGATAGAAAATGGGAACACTAAAAAGAGTCACGTAGCTATAGCATGACTAGGTTGCAACAGCATATTTTAGTGTGTCAGTCCCTAGGTTTCCAGAAGTTCGACAAAACACATGTACACATTCACATGTATGTTTGAGTGTTTTTCCTTTAATTTTTGATGTTTTTCTCATTCTGTCCTTTAGCGTTTTGTTTCTAGCACATTTCCTTTTGTGTAATTATAGGTTAATACCTATTCATTCATTTTATTTTTCATTACATAAAAATAATCTTTTGGGAATGACGGATTCACATCACCCCAAACAGTGCTTTTCAGGAGAATTAGTTAAGACTTTCATTTGAGAACCATCAACTTTTGAGTAATCATATCATGTACATGCAGGTGTGAATCATCCCAGTCTGAATTTACTATATAGCATTTAAATAATTTTTTTTGCATTTAGACAGTATTTTTCAATTTAAGTTCCTGATTCACTGACAACACTTAAAATGAATGAATTGGAGAAATAAGATGTAGTTTCGGTGTAATTTAAGCGATTTATCACTAACATAATCTTAGTTGTGCCTTGCATTTTTGGATGGTAACTTGTCTGCCAATATCTATTTTTTTCCCTATAGCTACATAATAGCTCGTACTTAAAGTACTCTGTTTTTCTTTAAAACTAGAGTAAGCTGATTGTTAATGTCATGTGTTTGTTATCTGACACACTGTATAGAAAGAAGTTAAAGCTAGTTTAATTTTTGAGAGGGTTTGCATTAGAAAAGGGGCAGCAATGTTGTATGTCTTCTGTAGCCCATGGAATATTGATACAGCCTTAAGAATGCAAGTGGAGAGGGGGATTTTTATTAGGGCTGCAGAAATATCTCTGGAAAATGGAAACCATTCCAATGCAAGATAGTTATCTGAAGGTAGAGAAACATGGGGGGAATGGCATAAATGGGAGCCAAAGTCACGCTTTCCACATTGAGTAACTTTTAAGTCTACTTTTCATTTGAACATTTTTTCATATTTGATAACATTCAGAATAAGGGAGCTCTCATATGAAATACACTGTTTCTTGGGGCTTCTGTAACTCAGAGTGGAGTATATGAAGGGATTTTTGCTGCCTCATCCTACCCACTGCATCCCCCTCTGCCCCTGAAATGCCAGCCCTCAGTGTCATGGGACTTCAGCAACAACATTACATGTAGAATGGGAAGCTGCAGCCCAATGGAAGAGTTATTTCTGCTGATTTTTCTCTCCTTCCTTTAGTCCTCATTCTATATCCCACGCTGTCTGAACTCATAATACCCTCAGCTATGACTTTGTGGAGGAGGGACACATGGGGGCAGCAAAAATCCCTTAGGTTAATTTCTTATGCATTGTGGTAGGATCCAACCCTATATTCTTCCTTATGTTTTGGAATTACATTAGAATAAAATGTACAAAAGAGTTGTCGTCTTCAAGTTTTTAAGTGCTTCCGATGGACAGCATTAAAAACGCACCCCATGAAATTGGTGAACTGCATTCCATATTGGCTTGAAAGAGGGCCTATGAAATGTTCTGTACTTTTTTTAGATGCCCTCTGTAGGCTTCTGACTCCCGTTTGATCTATATATGTGCTCCATTCTATGATTTGGCTTGAAAGCATTGCAAGAGGAATTATACTTATGCAATGGGGCTGTCCTACCTTTCCGTTCTACCTGGAGCCCCCTGTGTCTCCCACAGCACTCATGAGAGTAAGCAACATTCGTGAGTGCCATAGGATGTGGTAAGGGCGAATGCAGTGGAAGGAGAAAATCCATGGAAATTAGAAGACCCCCTGAAAATGTGGAAATGTCTTCCTTTTGTGCAAGAAGCCCTTTGGATCCAAGATAGTGGCTTCTGCTGATCATAGGGTATCTGTAAATACTCCTTTTTCATCTTCTATTTCTTGCCTAATCGACATAGTTAATCTGTAGCATTAACTCTTGGCCCCCTCTTTTTATTTTGGAACAGTTTGTACTACTACCGTTGCAATCACTTCTTCAGGTTAGGCTTCTGTTTCTGTTGTATATCCTTAGACCTAGTGGTCCAACAGTTTTGGCTGTGACCGTTGATTTTCTTTTCAGTCTGCTTTCCTTAGATTTTCTGCACTGGCAACTGAGACCCTCACTAAAGCTGATTCTAGTACTACTACCAGCTGTCCCACATAGAACCAATATTGTGGCTCCGAACAGTCTGTATTTGTGAGCTGCAGTCTCAGCGGAACATGATGAAACTTAGGGCCAAGCTACACATTATGTAGGCAATCTATGATTGGATTTCCAAAACTGAACTGCAGCACGCACTGAGTGTTACTGGTTCTAGCTTGGTGGCTCTTGATAGCAGCAGAATTAACAAATCATTGCTGATAAAGTTCCATATGCTGGCCATTGACTGTGCCAAAAATAACCATTTAAACGAAAGGATTTCAAGGCTTAAAATAAGCAAAGGGACAGATTTTTCAGAACAGATTAATTTCAGGACTGCTGTAATCACTACATGAAATAGATTTTATCCAGAATGCCACAGAATGACTTTGAACTTTGAGTAATATTGGCTTTTCTCACTACACATGTTAAGTCACTTAGTTCTCGCTTATACCCAGAATTAAAGGAAATCTGTTTCAATGTATCTGAAGAATTGTGCATGCACACAAAAGCTTATACCCAGAATTAAACTTTGTTGGTCTTAAAGTTGCCACTGGACTCAAACTTTGTTCTGTTGCTTTAGACAGGGGTCATTTCGTAGAAAAAGAGCTAGGGGGACTCATTAGCATAACTCATTAGCATATGCCACACCCCCTGACATCACCGGAAGTGTGTCCTCCCCACAGCCGGCGGTGACCTCCAGCGGGCACCAGCAGGGAGCTCCAGGCCCTGCCCTCCCGCACCTCACCCGGGGGGATGGCGTCCCCCCGCGTCCCCCCCAAATGACCCCTGGCTTTAGACCAACACAGCTACCCACCTGAATCTGTAATAAAGATATATAACACATATTCATTAAAACCCTGGAAGTGCCCAAATGAGAGCTTTTTTCATAATTAGAAAATTTTAGCTTTTCCATCTGCCTACCAATTCATCCCTCAGCATTCAGGTTTATTTTATTTAATAATCGTTCTACCAGCAGCAAGGTAGATATTTCTAATATTAACGTAAGCTTGGTTTAATTTTCTTAAATTTTAAAAATCTGTTTGTACCACAGTGAAAATATCTGAAACTGATAATTGGCAAGTATGAGAACCTGTTTTTATTGGTGTCCCACCACTATAATGAGAATAGTAAGATTAATTATGTATAGCAGTGTGTGACAGCACTGTATTTTCATCAAAGCTTCAGCTTGTTAACAGGCAGCAGTTTTAAAGGATAAAGCTAGTAACCTGAGATGTGACTAAAAGGTTTATGTCAACATTAAAAAGAGAAGTTGTAAAGATGTATAGTTAATCTATATAAAGACAGCTCATCTGATTTTATGTTTGTCATTTAAGGAATGATTTATTGACTTCTGAAGTTGCCTTTTGCTTTTCTTCTCAGTTTTGCAGATAGTGGGTTCCCAGTTATTGACTATACAATAGAGTTCATGTTCTTCAGTAAGATTTATATATTGCTGTTCCCTTTCTTTTCACCTTACTATAGAAGAAGGTTTCTTTGGCAATATTGGGATGATATAAGATAACAGTTTTAAAACAAGCATTAAATTTCATCTTTTAAAATTTTGACAGAGCAAAACAAGATTCATTGTCATGCCATTTTGCTTATCTCAGATGTCATAATAGATCCTCCTTGGCAAATTGTCTATAGAGCACACAGAAGACACTGGATCTGTAATATTTCAGCAGTTATTCATTATGTGAAATTAAATAAACTGAACAGACATGATACTTGCCGGTATTAGTTATTTGTATCTATAATTCTCAGATTAAGTGTAATAGTACAGCATAAGTTGTGGACTGAGTAATCATGTCTAGGAATGCTCTGAGATCCTGGGTCTTGTTTATACCATGGATGCTTCTAGAAACAACAGCTCCAATGACTGTAATGCCAGGTAGCAGAACAGACTAGCAGCTACTTGTTAGCATGGGGGTTTGGTGCTAAGTTAGCTGGTTTGGCACTCCTGTCACTATGTCACCTGTCTTAATTCTGTTAATCAGTATGTAGTAGCAGTAATCACCATGGATATTAATATATAGCTGGATTGCAGACAGTGGCTCTTGGAAACACATCTATACTAAGGGTGGGGAGGTTACATTGAATTCCTTCTTCCAATTATCTATGCAGAGGGGAATCCCAACCCAATTCTCTGTACTAAAGATTCCTTTCTTCTTATGTCTAACCACATAGAAGGAAAAGAGACTTACAGATGTAGTCTGTCTCCTGTAGAGAGAAAAAAGTCTAATGTGTAGAGTATTTTTTGAAGTTATTATTTAATTATTTCTAATGGTTCCTTTTCACCCAAATAAGGTCCCCAAGGAGTCAAACATAAAACATTTTAAAAAGCATTTAAAATGAAGTAGGTATAAAATAAACCAGTATGAACATATGAACAGAAGCATGCATAACTCCAAAATTAAGAGGAAGGGCCAAAAACAGTTGTTGGGGGTATGCCAAACAAACAAAAAAATTTATCCTCTGATGGGGGAGAACAATACAAGGAGACAGACAAATCTCCCTGAGGAGGAAGTTCCAGAGTTTTGGCGCCGTGCCTGAGAAGGCCCTTTCTCGGGTTCCCACACCTACTAGCTTCAGAAGGTGGGATCACCCGAAGCAGGACCTCCAAAGATGACCAGAATAGATGGGTAGATTCATTAGGGAGGAGGCAGCCCTTAAAGAATGTTGGCCCTAGGAAATATAGAGCTTTAAAGGACAATACCAGCACTTTGAGTTAATTCTGGAAGCAAATTGGAAGCCCAGTGTAAATGAAACGAGACAGGAGCAATGCTCCCTCTAAGCTGTGGAGTCTTGTGAGCAAAAATTCTACTTTGTGACCAACTGGCATTAAAGTTGTGAGCGAGCGATTTGGCTACTGCATCAATTAGTTTGCTCTGGAGCCCTCCTTCCTGTGCGAAGACAAAAATGTGTGGCTAAAAAACTGTGAGCTATCTCACACTAACTCAGCTTAGAGGGAACGCTGGACAGGAGTGATATGATCCCTACAACGCACTCAAGTCAGCATTCTGGCTGCAGTGTTCTGTACTTACTGTAGCTTCCAGGCAGTCTTCAAGGGCAGCCCCATGCAGAGTGCATTGCAGTAATCTAATCTTGATGTTACCAGGGCATGAACCACAGTGGCATGATCTTTCCTGCCCAGGAGTGGTTGCAGCTGGTTTGCCAGCCAAAGCTGGTGAAAGGCACCCCAGCTGCTGCTGTTACGCAACAGGGGGCCTGGATCTAGCGGCACCCCCAGGCCACGAACCTGCTCCTTTAGGGGGAGTGCAGTCTGTGATGAATGTCCTATACCTTTCTGAAATACAGCAAACCCCTTTGGTCCTGTTTGGTGTGAGAGCATAGCAGCCAACAGCTGATCAGGATTGCTGGAAGGGCTGGAAGAGCTAGATGGGAGGGCAGAGTGAGAGAGAAAGAGTTGTGTGTTGTCTGCATATTAGCAGCAACTCAGCCCAAAGAGCATGGGAGACAAGATATAACCTTGCAAGACCCTATAGGGCTGAGGCCAAGAAGTGGAGCTGGAGTCCCCAGTACCACATCGTTAAATCTTCCTTCAAGGTAGGACTGCTCTGCAAACAGTGCCTTCCAGGTCCAACCCCGACAGACAGTCCAGAATGATACCATGATCATTGGTATCAAAAGCTGCCGAGAGGTCTAGGAGAGTTAAGAGGATCACACTCCTCTTGCCCATCTTACAGCGCATGTCATCCACCAGGGCAGCCAAGGCCATTTCCTTCCCATAACCGGACCTGAAACAGATTGAAACGGATCCAAACAATCAGTTCATGTGTGGTCGAACTATTTTATTTAACCCCCCTCCCCCACAAGACTTCTAGGCAGTAAAGACTATATAACAAGTATGTCCAGCAGGTAGATCGTGATCTACCAGTAGATCACGGAGGGGTCAGAGGTAGATCACCAGCCCCACTTGGTCTCCTGGTATAAAATAAAATAAAAAATGTTCGCAGTTCTTTCTGGATCTTCGTCTCCGTTTTGTTTTTGTTTATTTTGCTTACCAGTAAATGACAGAAGGTGCATTATAAATGGGAGGGGGCAGTGGAACCCAACTTTAGTGGGTTAAAATCTAATTTGAAACAAATTTGAAACTTTATTTTCATGGTGGTAGATCACCGGCACTTTTGGCCGGAAAAAATAGATCACTACCTGTTTGAAGTTGGACATGCCTGCTATAATATGATATATCTTGAAAACAAAATTTCTACTGAAATAAGAGTCTTTATTGAAAACAGAAAACTGTGAATGTGTTGTGATTGGGTCAAATATTTATTGGACACTGTATTTAACAGTTTAAGGAGTCCTTTGAGCAAGATAAGTCTCCTCCTTTCTCAGTGCCTGTACTTCATAGATGAAAGGTGTGACAAGTTACGCTTCTGTTTCCCTAACACAAAATTCCACCTTGCAATAAATATGGATGTTGAAGTCTACAAAATATTGTAGCATTCTTTACAGCCTGCATAATACACAGTAAGCTTCAGTGTTACATGTCCCCTATCTTTGCAGACAAATAGGGGATGACTCCAGAATGTATCCCTCCCTTCTCATCCCCAAACTGGTAGGGATGAAAGTTGTACATGCCACTACCATCAAGCACTTACAGGGAACAAGCAGCCTGCTGCAAGTTCACCCTCCTAAGTTTCCAAAGTAATTAAGGTTTTGGTCTAAGGAGAGAATATAGTTTGCTGTGTCATTCCCTCCACATTACACCTAACTTTTTTTTTTTAACAGAAAAGGGGCATTTTTGCTGTCTAAAGGAAGAAGCTCAACGGGCACATAATGTAGAGTGTGTGTAGTTCAATTCACCCCCTACAATGGATTCTTTTGGTCATGAAAGGGGACTGCCTGTTTGTTGCCAAAAGGATGACAGGGTGGTTGTGGATGAATTTATATATTGGCTTACTTCATTTATGCCCTGTCTTCCTCCCCAGTGAGGACCCAAAGCAGCATATATTGTTCTCCTCTCTTCCATTGTATCTTCACAACAACCTTGTGAGGTAGTTTAGGTTGAGTGTGTGTGACTGGCCCAAGGTCACCCAGCAAGTTGCCATGGCAGATTTCCATGGTTGGGATTTGAATCTGTGTCCCTCGGATTCTAATTCAGCAGTCTACCCACTATACCACACTGACTTGGCATGAAGGATATGTTCCTTCTGAGCCCAGTTTCCCCTCCTTGTGTTGCATAATGTTATTTATTTTGTAGATACTTCATTTAAAAAATAAGGGCTTTTTGAATGTCTTCAGTAATACAAAAATTACTGATTTGTGTAATTTCCCCCTGAAAATTGATTTCAGAATTTTAAGTGCAATTTAAGTTTGTTGGATACATTCTATTTTAACTTTATACAGTAATAGTCTAATATTTTTACATACTTTTATACACTTTACTGGACATAAAAAAATATTTTTTCCTAACAGAATCAGCGAATCCCATCTGACATGGTGTTCCTAAGAACTTCAGAAAAAACAGGTATATTTAAATTTTTGGTCTTATTATGTACATACTTTGTGAATGCATGCAGTGATGAAATATGTGTAGTAGTATTTATAAATGGGCTCTAGTAATTTTTATATTGCTGAATTCAGAGAAAATGCTCTGTGAAACTTTATTATACCTTAGTATCTCATTGGGTTGATTGTCTATCTTCTGCTTTGTATTGTCCCCTTTTTAAAAAGTATCCTCATTTAAATCAATAAACAATATTTTCATCTGCTTTGGCCCAGCTTTTTAAGTCATGTATGCAGCAATTGGGTGATGAACTGAATGTTCATTTCACATCACAGTCATGCTCCTACCTGTAGAGTGGCTGTACTTTGTCACATCATTCAGTTTGCTGTGCAGAAATCAAGCAGCATCCAAGGAGACTCTTCTTGATTTTAATGTGTAAACCCTCTCTTAAGCTGTAGCACAGTTTAATTCTGCACTCAGAATTTGCAGATGCTGCTCATGCGCACCTCTTTTTCTACTCATGGCCCTCTTATTAGACTACCTTGCCTTAGTGTGATATATTTAAATACTACTACTTCAATATCCAGCAAGCTTGAATGTCATTGACTTTTCCTCATTAGTACCAGACTCATTGCACATGTCTTTTGAACATCCAAGTCCTATGGTCCATAGCATAGCCTTTTTGGGTGATCAAACAGGGACCCTTCCTCCTTTTTCACCATAGAAAAGGTAGTTGGATCTAGCCCATGTTTTTGTGCTGATTTCATATCTTTTATAACAAAGAACACAGATGCAGCTTTTAGCACTGTATGATAAGCACAGATATCCACAGAATTATTTATCAGTAAAAATAATTTAAAAATTACAGAATGATTTGGTTTAAGCAGCCACCACCTCAGTTAATTGTGCTGGTGATATGTTTGTTTTTTGAATCACCCATTTCTCAAACACATGGCAATAAGTGCTTTTAAAATAAGGACGGAATTAAATTTTGTCATTGTTTCTCCAACATGAAGTAATGTTGACTGATTTATTTTTAATGCATTGCTGATATATTAAATACTTCATTGATTCTTCTATTTTCAATATATTAGTCTATATATAATTTGAGTTTATCTGTGTATACTCTTTATAGCTTTTTGGTAGTAAGAGAAACTTGTAAAAAATAATACATGGTTAGCCTTTGGTCCAAATTCAGATATTCCTTTTCTACATAGTTCTGTTTTGCCATAACTATTGCTCATTGTATCCCTGTCCTCTTAAGACTTGAGGTTTTCATTTCATTTTTTTAAAAATATGCCTCACTAAATTAAAGTAATTCCAAATTTATAGTGTGAATTATGCAGCCAATTTGTAGTCGATACCAGGCTTTTAAAATATGTATAGTGTTGTAACCAGAACCTGACAACATAATGAATATTATATTTAATAATAAGCTGTTTAATAATAACAAATGCCATTGTTTGTTGCATTTATAAATTATAATTGAAGATTACTACTTAGTGCTTTCTTCACGAAAGACATCTGGCATTTTGAACTTTTTAAAAGACACAGAAAGGCTGCGATCACATGCACTAAATAATCCACTTTTAATCCACTTTCCAACTGGATTTTACTGTGTGAATGGGCAAAATCCAATTTGAAAGTGCATTGAAACTGGATTGTTTAGTGTGTGTAATAGCAGCCAGAATGTGGCATTTTGAAATTCAGCTGTTCAACTGAATTGTCACATTCTTTCTCTTTCTAAGGAGACTGCTCCAGAATAATAAAGCTCTGATAGTTACTTGTGGCACGTGTTCTAAAAATTTCTATTATGTTTAGAAACCATACGTTATAAAACCTACCTGTCTTGAAACAAACAAACAAAAAGTTTTGGAGATGTATTGCTACAGAGAATGACAAACGACTAGAGTGAAGTTTTGCACATACGACCAAATAAACTTCTGTCTTCAGGGCATGAGTGACTGCCAACAATCTGTCCAAACTACTTTAATCTGTTCTCATATCTCAGTTCCTATTCCAGTTTTAACATTTGATTTCACTCAGGCTAGCAATGTTTTGACACCTATCTCAAGCCACTGAATAATATGCTTTTATGTGATAGAGCTGTTTTTTAAAACACAAACATGAGTTGAATAATATGTTTAGGTTGAAATCGGAAAGCATACTTCCTAGAGAACAAGCCCCTTGAGCTCAGCAGTGCTGACTTCTGGAGAAAGACAGTTTAGGATTGCAGTAGAGATATGCTTGCTAGGTGGCATTAGGCAAGCCACTTTTCCTTGCTTCAGCCACCCATTTACAGATGATGCTGCTGACCTAGCTCACAGGAGTGTAGGATCACTGGGTGAATGGATGATTAACTATAGTAGGACTCTGGACCGATAGCATGAATATGTGCTACATAGAGCCAGATTTTAAATATGTCTGAGAAAGAGCCACGTGTTTCTCAGAGTTTGCAAGAGGTGATCAGAAGTACTCCCCACCCTTTCTACCACATTGATAGCCATAAGCCAAAAAATGGTGGCACAGCATCCAGCCCTCTGAACAGCTTAGCCTATCACTATTCATGTCTCACAGAATGACAGTGCTCAAGCCCTTTCAGTGGAGTTCCTATAACCAGAGCACCTCTGTCTGTGTTCTAAGCGGGCATAAAATCATAGAACTGGGAGGGATCTCGAGGGTCATCTAGTCTAACCCCTGCACTATGCAGAAAATTCACAAATACCTCCCCACACACACCTCCAGAATCCCTGGCCAAACTGGCCTGGAGAAAAATTGCTTCTTGACCGCAAAGTGGTGATCAGCACTTCCCTGGATGTGTGAGAAAGCACTAAGCACTGATGCAACCCTTCCTGCCCTCCCTCTCATGATCTACCTAAGTTCACAGAATCAGCATTGCTGTCAGATGGCCATCTAGCCTCTGTTTAAAAATCTCCAAAGAACGAGAGCCCACCATCTCCCAAGGAAGCCTGTTCCACTGAGGAACTGCTCTGTCAGGAAGTTCTTCCTAATGTTTAGCCGAAAACTCTTTTGACTTAATTTCAACCCATTGGTTCTGGAGCACCTTCTCTATATTACTTTCTGGGGCACCATCCTCTATATGACAGCCTTTCAAGTACTTGAAGATGGTTGTCATATCACCTCTCAGTATAGTAGGGATCCAGAGAGAGAAAGAGTCCCACACTGTTTGCCTTATAATTTGGTCAGTGGATGTCAAGGGCATGTGGGTAGGGTGAGCCGGGACACTGATAGCTGCTATAGTAACTGCCAGCCTGCAGGTCATTTTCTTCAGTAGTTTAGCCTTTCTCTCTCCCTTTCCTTGTACCCAGCACAGTCAGATCTTGCAAAGCAGTGGTTAGGGTGCTGCAGCAAGATAAAACAACCTTTCACTCTCTTAATTTCTCTCCCTTTTCCCCACACGTTTCTCATTCATTTCTGTCTCCCTTCACCTAATTTTTTCGATGCCCCCTTATTTTTACTTCCTTGTCTCAGGATATACTCATCCCTATCTTGCTTGGTGACAGAATGTATTTAACAGTAGTATAGTAGCAAACCATTGTGAATATTATGAACAGAAGGCACTTGGTTTGCTGTGTACTGTACATTGCACTGGTTCTGCTGGGCTTCCAAGCCTCCATCCTGCTTGGACTGTGATTCTGTGCTTGACATCAGCTGGCATTGCCACAATGGCACTGGGTTCCACTGGGCACTCTGTGTTTGCACTGGTATTGCTGGGTACTCTATACACTGCACTGATTTTGCTGTGCTTGCAAGAATGCCGCCCACCTTCAGTTTCTACTGCAGAGATTCTCTGGTTTGACTTTAGTCTTTGGAAACAATGGAGGATGGGGGGCAGTGTGTTTCTTAACATCCAGTCTGGTGAAGCTTGCAACCAGTATTTTGTGATGCTTTAGCTAGTGTTAGTAAAAGTTAGTACACAGGCAGACTCCTAGCTCTCAAAAATGCCTTGTGGATGTTTAGGATGGTCAGCTCTTGGGCTTCAAAACGACAGAACCCTCTCAAGTGCCTGCTCAGAACACGAGTGGTGTGATCGAATTTTTTGTTGTTGTTATTGTCAAGTCACGGCTGACTTATGTTGACCTTGTTTTCAAGGCAAGAGACATTTGGAGGTGGTTTGTCGCTGCCTGCCTCCCTCCACGTTGCTTAGCTTGAGATCTGAGGAGATCAGGCTATCCTGGGGGCTCTCCAGGTCAGGGCTAGGCTGGGAGTAATGTGACTGGACCAAGGTCACCCAGCAAGTTTCCATGGCACGAGTGGGGATTTGAACCTGGATTTCCCAGATCCTAGTGCAACACTTTAACTACTACTCCACGCTGGCTCTCATGGTGGAATAGTATGTTGGAATTTGAATTTTTTTTTACTGACATGATTATATACATGAAGTTAACTTTTTTTGTTCACTGTCTGCCTTTCTCTTCTGACCCTTGAAACAAAGTCTGGGCCCAGTGGCACCTTTAAGACTTTGTTCTGCTGCTTCAGACCAACACAGCTACCCACCTGAATCTATTTTCTGGCCATTATTATTATTTGTTTTATTTTGTGTTAAAAATTATTCACCTCAGTGACCAAATAGGCTAGGTGCGCCACTGTGGAAAGGGCACACAGTTTCTACAGCAAGCATCTGTCACTACGTGGAGAATAGGGCACCTGAAAAGTATACTTTGTCCGTATGCACAGACACACATACACACACAGATCACCAGCAAGGAGAGGTTTACCTCTATTCCCAGGAAGCCTGGAAACCGCCTTCATTAGTCACCAAGAAGCAGGGTGTGGTTCACTGGATGCTTGCCCTGCCCAAACCAGCAAAGATTCCAAAGTGCACCTTCTCCGTCCTACCATTGCTGCCAGCCAGTTATAAAAACTTAGGAGTGCAATATCCTGTCGCTGAATGGATTAGGATGGCACCTAACCCCTACACTGGTGTATCCCAAAGACATACAGGTTCCAAGTAACTTCCGTGCCTGTATATGAATGGGCAGCATCAGGGACGGAGTAGG